GAACCTCATCATTTCAGTAGATCGGTAGATGAACTTTCATAGCCCGCTCCCATCATGCCTGGTATAAGTGGGGAGGGGGATGCGCTTGCGCCCACCTTTTCTTCTTCTTCGCCTCTTTCATCTTTCTTGCGTACCCCATTCATCGGAAACCCTTGTCTTGCTACCATCTCCATGTTCTTTTAGCTGCGTGCTCACCCCCATCATCACCAATGCTAGATCCAAGGCCTAAGACCTCCTCTGTGCCCTCAATCATGTTGTCAAGGGAGGAGATAATCTTCATGTGGTACATTGGAGGAACTCAATAGTATCAAGGGCACGTCTTTTCAAGATGGTGGAAGACGTATTACTACTATCGGAACTCACCAGATGGAGGGTAACCAAGGGGAAGGAGTTCCCTTCACCTGACACTAGAAAGGTGGTGGTCTTCTCCTCCTTATTTTAAATGGGGTTTCGGTGCGCGTGCATCCTTTATTCTAGGATTTGTTGAATTACTATGAGATTTAGGTTGATGACTTCAACCCGAATAGCGCTCGTCATGTCGCGACCCTTTTAGCACTCTGTGCAAAATCTTCCTTGGGGTGGAGCCCCATTTTGCCTTCTGTCTAGGTATATTTGAGGCCTAACACCAACCGAATATCTCCAATCCGACCTTGGTTAGTCGGATAGGATTGTAGTTGTGCCGTTGAACTACTTCGACATTCCCTTCACTTCTTCCAATCACAATTGGCATTTGTGGTGATCCTACATCTAGGAATAGCACCTCCCAAGTACTCATCTGTGCCGGCAGCGAATTTATGATATTGGTATGCCAAAATCAAGAATGTGGAGAAGCAACAGGTCATGTTGTGATGGCGGATATACTAACTTCAAGCAGGAGGGTGTGACAGGTGTAGGCCCGATTCACCTGATGTATGATTACACGGGTTAGACCAACTCAACTCGCGAGAAGAGTGACCCCTGTTGACCGACGCAGTGAACGCCTATGTTGCCACGCTACTGTCGAGAGCACACCTGTGAGGGGACTCCCTTGTCCATTCCCATGCACGAAGCAGCCCGTTAGGGTGAGTTACTCTGTTAACTGCCATCAACTTATTTAGGCCTCGTTCGGTTGTGCATGAGCGATTTCCTACAACAATTCCCAGCTAGAATGGTTCCCTAAGGGCATGTTCGGTTGCCAGGGAACGACTCCCTAGAAAGGTTCCTGGGTGGATTTGTTTGCTAATTTGTATAAGCTTCGTGAGCTGAAATGGTTTCTGTGCTTGTTCCAGGATAACCAAATGAGTCTTAATTTGTATAACCTTTATCAGCTGGAATGGTTCATAGGCCCATTCCAGGCTAAGCGGACGAGACCTTAGCCGAAGCTTTTGAACGTTCCATGCTGACTCAAACGTTCTTTTGTAGGACCGGGAGGAAGCAATTTTCAAGCTCATAAATCAAAATTGCCTTGGGACCCAAACAATGTTGATGGGTAGTTGACCCAAGCAAGACGTGCAGGACTGCAAGGCCTGTTTGGCTTGTCACCGTACCAAAAGTCGGGCGGAAGTTTTGCTCGCCACACAATTGGCGAACTGCGGCGCAACAATGAACTGGGTGCATGCATGCAAGTCTGGCGGCACCGCAAATAGAGGAACCAACCAAACAATAAGTAACTTGTGGCGTGAAACCTGGGGCGTGGTGTGGCGAGGCCGGGCTGCCAACCAAACGGAGCCGCAGAGCCACAGATGGCCGGAAGAGGAAACGGAGCACAACTATGGTGTCCGTGACAGAAACGGCTGAAGACCGCCCCCCCCCCACTGGCAGGCAAACAAAACGATCCAAGGAACCATTTTTGAAATGGTTGCCTTGTGTGTATGTTGTTCGATATTGAAGTTTGAGGGGATCTTTTAAATTCAAACTACCTCACGGAATGACTCGGAATTTACTCTTTTCTTAATGCCCTGATTGTCCCATGTTAACAATTTACTTTCCTAATATTCACAACCCTCCATAATTCGGCGCAACAAGTAGAGACCAATTGTGCACTGTATAGCAGCGTGCGTACACGTACCAATTTGGCCCAGTCTAGTTTTAGCCGGCCAGCCGGTTGGTATGCGGATCACATAGTGCCACAAATTTAAATAGCACTAGGAAAACAGGCCGCGCGTTTTCTTTGCAATTAGGAGTATCTTTGAACCCCACCCTACCCATGTTACTGTCAGGGGACCGCAGCACGCAGCTGCCTGCGACTGCTGCCCATGATTCTATTTTCCTACGTCGCTCGATTATAAGATATATAGATTGCTTAACTTTGTATACTACGTATTAGGGCATGTTTGGCAGGACTCTAGCTCTGAAAACCTAGCTCTAGAGCAGGTGCACCACCACGGAGCAGCTCTACGGTGGAGCTGAGCTCCAACTATACCATTAGGTACAGCTCCAATTCTATAATGGACCCATATGTAATCAAGAAAACATATCTAGGGGGCCAAAACTAAAAAAACATGTCTTCTTCCTCCCACGCTCGCTGGCCAGGAGACGCGCCGGCCCCTGCCGTGGGCAGGCTGCCCGCGCCAACCCTTGCCGCACGCCAGTCAGGCAGTCATGCCGGTTACGAGGCCATGCCGGTTAGGCTGGCCGTGCCAGCCCCTGCCATGCCTGTCAAGCGCCCCATCGGATAGCACATCACTCACCGTCTCATGCTTGGAGCCCCACGCCATGGGCGGGTACACACACATTGTCTCTCACAGCGCCGTGTTGAGCACGCGCATCTTGCCTACTCACCCGCGGCGTGGCTGGCGCCGCCGCCCATGATGATCTCGCGCAGGACCTCCTGCTCCACGTCACGGTGATAGGTGAGCATCCAGAAGAACCACATCAACGCCGACGATGCGCCGGCCCTTGTCGTACCGGCCAGGTGGCCGCGGCGGTCCCTGCCGCACCGGACGAGAGAGGAAGAGGCATGGGAGAGAAACGAGAGAAAGAAAGAGAACGAACCATTTGTTTTCCACTAATCAGTGCCATAGTGTGTAACTTTAGACAACTCCACAGATCCACGGGCATGCTGGCCAGCTGGACCTGCTATGGTGGGGCCCATTTGGGCGTGTGATATGTTCAATTGGTGAAGCTGAATTTGTTTGGATGAACCGTTTAGTAAAATATTTTCTCTTGTGCATGAAAAACGATGAGATGTCCATAATAACCTTTTCTTTTTTCCTTTTTCATTTTCCTTCTTTATGTTCTCTCTTATTTACTTTACTTCCCTTTTTCTCTCTCCACATTAGTTCCATCCTCAACCTCAACGCACACTCACAGTTTCTTCTCCGCCTGGGCTCGTCATCAGCCTCATCCCCTCCCGCTCCTGTGTCTGATTCCTCCCGGCTCCGGCCTCCATGACGGCCTCATCGGCTAGGGCTTGCTCCTCCCTGTGCCTGTTGCCTCGCCCCGGGCTTGCCCCTCTCCGCGCCGGAGGTCTTGTCGCTCCTCCCCAGGATAGCATCGTCACCTGGCCTCACCCCTTCCGCACTGGCCTCCTCGCCCCTGCCTTGCGTTGGTTGCATGCCCCTCCCCGTTGAGGATGGAAACAGATCAGATACGCATGGAATTGGATCCAAATATCATCTTTTACCACATTTTAATTCGAATACGAATACGGATACGGATATTTTCAAAAACGAATACAAAACCAATGTCTCGGATTCAGATTTCTATTCGAATATTTACTCGACTCAACTCAAAGCGTATATTGTTAAATTCAACATATATAAATAAAATCTTACTACTAATATCTCCTCTATTGGAATTCCAGTTCACTGCCTTCGCGTTGACTTTTTTTCGGGGACCAATATCGTGGCTATATCCTCGTATTGCGTCTGGAAGTTTCGCTTTATTATCCTGCACTCTAGGCTGAAAATGATTGTGAGAACCATTTTACATGGTGCAATCGTAACTATCATATTGGTTGTGATCATATATACCTATAGAGATGAAAGCAGCTGGTCTGATGATACTTATTATCACTACCGGTACCAAGACATTCCAGTGGCAGTATGGCTGCTCATTCAGTTAGTAGCCTACAATGCCGTTGGTTGCCTATACATCTCCAACTCCTCAGCACGGGATTAGAAGGAGAAGATTATCTCCGCTGGATTTCTTATCCTTGTTCTGCTTGTCTTTCTCCTATCCTCGTTTGCCAACATCAATCTTCCTCGCCCCTACCTCATTTTCGGGGCAAATATCGTGGCTATATCCTTGTACTGTGTCTTGACTGTCTTCAAGAATTACCCTTTGCTCCAAGGATGGTTTCTTGATGCTGATGCGGCGCTGCCACGCGAATCGGCACGACAACAAGAAGCAGTAGTACTTCAACAGACCCCATTTCGCATACAAGACATTCCAAAGGAATTCTCAAGCGCCGAAATCCAATCCATAATGCAAGACTTCGGAAGCATGATAGGGCGAGGCGGCTCCGGACAGGTCTTTCGTGGGAGCCTCGACAACGGCACGGCCGTCGCCGTCAAGCGGATACATATGCACAGTGGGCGCACCGAGGCCGGTGAAGAGGAATTCAGAAGAGAGGTCTCCATCATCGCCAACGTGCACCACCGCAGCCTGGTGCGCCTCCTCGGCTACTGCCTCCAGCACGAGGGCAACCTCTACCTGGTCTACCCCTTCTTCGAGAACGGGTCACTGGACAGGTGGGTCTTCAACCGCGCGACGAGCAAAGGCGCCTCTTGACTTGGCCAAGGAGGTTCTGCATTGCCGTCGACGTGGCCCGGGCGCTCGCGTACCACCAAGACTGCCACCGGCGGATCCTGCACCTCGACGTCAAGCCGGGCAACATCCTGCTCGACAGCGACCTTCGGGCACACGTCTCCGACTTCGGTATCTCCCTCTCCATCACCAGGAACCTGAGTCACCTGACCAGCGTCATCAACACACGCGGGAGGGGCACCTTCGGCTACATGGCGCCGGAGATGCTCATCAATGCGGTGTCGGACAAGTCCGATGTCTTCAGCTACAGCATGACGCTTCTGGAGCTCATCGGCGGGCGCCGGAACTTTGATCCCTCGTCATCGGCGATGCCTGATGCGAACATCGCGCAGAACTTGCGGGCGAAGATGGCGCAGGGCGAGCACATGGAGTTTGTGGACGCAGCCATAGCAGTGGCTGCAGACGATGAGGAGGCAGGGAAGACGGTGGTGAAGGTGGCAGTCTGCTGCATCCAGCACGAGCGGGACATGAGGCCCACCATGCAAAATGTGATGGATATGCTCGAAGGCCGGGTCGCCATCAATCTACCGCTGGAGGCCCGTCGTCGGTCATCTTCTGCTGTAAATTTATCGTAACCGGAGCATTTCGTCATCGACCTGCACGGTGGGTGACAATGACGACCAATCAGTGGATGGGGTCTCTCCACTTCAGATGTTCTTCGCCAAGTTTTTTTTTACCATTTTATGTAGTTATTTTGTGCACAACTGAACACATGATTTTCTATTCCAAATTTAAAACCATATATAAATAGTTTTTACAAAATAGGGTTCATATTATTACCCATAGATTTCCAATAAATCCCATATTTCTGTTTAATTTATTAGTGGATTCTGATGGTGCAATTAGTTTATCAGTGGGTTGAATTTAGCCCGCCAACCGGCCAGCACAAAAAAAATTGTAATGGAGTCACCCTATATATTCTACATCGACGATTAGATCTATAATAACAAAGAAAAGCTTGACCATACATATACGTTCCCCTTTTGTGTTCTTATTTTGTGCTTTGTTGATCGTGAGAGGACGGAGAAGACAGGCTCCTGACCACCCGGAACGTACGTTATATGAGAGTCTTTGGCTCTGAGAGTCTTCGGCTCTGTTTGGCTGGCTGAAAAAACGGCTGATGCTGATGCTGATGCTGATGCTGATTTATTGTGAGAGAAAAACACTATTATTTCGTTGAAAGGGTACGGCTGATATGTTCAAACGAACAGGGCCTTCAATTCTTGGTCATGACTGAATGAGACAGGCCAAGTAGACGTATATAAGTTACCGAGATGTCCGGATAATTGCCAGCTGCGCATCGTGTGACTCCTAAAATACCACTTGAACTTTTCCTGTACAATACTTAACGACCACTACATGGAAAGTGGTGATACATGACGTTACCATTCACAGACACCTAAAAAATCTTCCTAGTTAACTATCTTTGACGGTCGAAAAAATGGTTGTGGAATCTGCGTCATAATTCTTGGGAGCCAAAAGAAACCGTCACAGCATCAATACAATGGTGATACATCTGTGATCGTCATTGAATAGTTGTTCAACAGGTTTACAAGAAGCGTGTAGTGAGCAAATGGAAAGTCATGGACATGTTCCACGTCAGCACTTCCATGTCAGCTTGGTGAGGTGGAGTGAAGAGCTCTCTGTGGTGTAGGCTGAAAGATAGGTGTCTATCGTTCGGCCGTGCATTGCGCCACGGCATTCATATTTTGGGGCTGAGCGTCGACGATAGACAAGCAGGGCCGTGTTTAGTTGCCCAGAATTTGCGCCGCCCGGAATACTGTAGCAACACTGTAGCAGCAGTGTCGTTTTGTTTTTATTTGCTAATAATTATCCAATCGTTGACTAATTAGGCTCAAAACGTTTGTATCATAAAATACAACCAAACTGTGTAATTAATTTTTGATTTCGTCAACATTTAATACTCCATGCACGTGTCCAAAGATTTGATATGATGTGATGTGATGAAGAATTTTTGGAGATGTAAAATTGGTGCAACTAAACAAGGCCCAGCTTGTGAATTTGATTTGTCAGCCCGATATGATCAACAACTTGACGTAGCCAGCCGTATGCAGGGAGGGAGGGAGCGAGCGCACGCTGTGTGAAGGGAAGGTGACAGATGCGAGAGTGCTTTGCTAGAGAGAGAGAGCTGAGTCGCGGCCGCACCCGCCATCGTCGTCCTCAACGTCGACCTCGCGGTTGCGCTCGTCGTCTCGCTCGGCAGGAAACGTGACTGTTCAGCCTAGCCACAGCGTTGCTGTCCAACGCTCCCTCGGCAGCGTCCACCTCCGCCTCCGCCGCCGTCGGCACCTCACACGGCACGACGGGCAGGGCAGCGCGAGGTCGGCCTTGCAAGCTTCCCTGCGAGTTCGGCGTCCACAACACAACTCAGGCAACTGACCAACAATGACGATGAGCTCGCCTGAGTAATAGTCCACCCTCCCCTGCCGGCTGGCCATCCTGGCACCGGCGTCCACCCACCGCCCACCGCCCGTCTCCGACGTCCTTATACAGGAGGCCACTCGATTAATCGTTCTGATTTTCAGCTCTAACTCTGATCCTTCCCAGGATTCCACTTCTGAACATTCAACTCCAACTCTGCCTTGATCACACCTGGGCCGTGTAACGCACGCCATGTGCTCGATCTTTTGTCTCTCTCTGAGTATCATGATCTTCTGTTAAATTTGATCAACTACTATGCCCCCTCGCTCTCTGGAGATAGGCCGGGATGATCATCCACTTTCCAAACACAGAATTTCCTTCTCTCTGTCCTATCCCTTTTGGACACCTTCCACTCTTCTTTCTGGAGCTGGTTTCCTGATTCCCCACCATGAGAAATAGAGGCTCTTATCACAATGGAGTCCAAAAAGGCCAAAGAAGACCTCATATCTTCAGTAACCAAAACGGGTTGCCTTTACACAAGAAGCTGCTTCCCATCAGGACGCAAAGTACATCACCCACTGGCTCCATGGCTACGCTACATCGACAATCTCTGCATCAACGCCATGTCAATCCAGGTGAATCGTTCCAAAACTTCATTCTTCAGAAGTATCACTCTACTGTTACATGTGCTGTTTGTCCTGGATCTCTCTTATCTAGCCCAGTCAAGGTTTGGGCAACCTTTTCTAGCAGGGCCTTAAAGCCCGATCCTGATTCCATCTCATCTTTCCTAGCTTCTTGCTTTGGAGACTCTCCTGACTCTTACCAAGTCTTTTGCTTTAGTCCATCTGTTTTCTCCTTCAGAGTGGAAAACAGAAATATAGCAAATGAACTTCTTCTAAGAAAATACTTCTATAAAAAAAACCAGCTCAATTGCTATCCATCCCTCTTTTGGGAAAGTTCAAGCTCATATCTTTTCTCCTAGACTGGTTCCTGAGGAGGAAGATGACACTGTTCATCAACCATTTGAATTTGAAATCTCCGATAGATGGGACAATACAAACGGTCAGAACAGTGGACAGACTAGCTGGGCAGCAGAACAACAGGGTAACTCGAAAGGTTTTTACCCAGAAGGGATAGTAATTCCTAATTGTACAGTGCCTGCCCAGTCTATGGGCAGCAAGAAGGACGAAGGGATACTTCCAAATCCTCTCATACCCCGGCAACATACTTTACATATCCCTAGACCCATCCAGCATATCCCGGTTCCTTTCTCTGATATGTTTCGGATGGAGAAAAGGAAAACATGAAACGAGCATATAGGGCTGTGTTTAGTTGGAGGGAAAGTTGGAATTTTGGCACTGTAGCACTTTCGTTTTTATTTGGCAAATAGTGTTCAATCATGGACTAATTAGACTTAAAACGTTCGTCTCGCGATTTCCAACCAAACTGTGTAATTAGTTTTTTTTTATCTACATTTACTGCTCCATGCACGTATCGCAAGATTCGATGTAACGGGTATGTAGCACTTTTTTGGAAGTATTTTTGGAACTGAACACGCGCTAATCTTACCTTAAAATATTGTTCTTTGCTAGAGCAGCGTGTCCTTTTCTGTCCTCGCTTCACCACTGAATGCTTCGGTTATTCAGTGGATGACTTGGACTTGATGCCGATGCCGTGCAGGCGTGCAGCCGTGATGGGGATTCACGGAGCCGTGATGGATGAGGAAACGGCGCTCGGCGCGGAGTCGTGAATGCTAGCCACGACGGAAAACGAAGCGACCAAGCTAGAAATTACGAGGCAATCAATGTATTTCCTGGCTTCTTTGATCCATTCTAGCTGGGCTGCTGCTTGCTGGGCTGTGGGTGGTGCAGCTTATAGGGCCAAAACTTGAGTACTATAAGGTGAAAAAAAAAATCAGGGTCGTGCATCGGCACCCATAAGACACAATATGCCTTCGCCCCTGCTCTGAAATATCCCCACGCTTCTACTCCAGTTGAGTTGTCCCCACACATGGATTCTAGGCTTTTCACCTTCTCAGGGATCAGTACGACAACTAGGGGCATGTTTGGTTCCATGGGAATAGAGACTAGAGACTAAATTTAAGATCCTTTTAGTCCCTTTTAACCAAATAGAAGGGACTAAAACATGGACTATAGAGACTAATTGGCAGAAGTCATAAAGGGAGAGACTTTTTGGGACTTATGGGCTCAAATTGACACCCCTTACCCCTCAATAATTGCTCCCAGCGCCGGCTCCCTCGCCCTCATCCACCCATCCCAAAACCCTCAGCGCCGCAGTCGCCCTCACTCGCTCCCTCGCGCACTCGCCCTCACTCGCTCCCTCGCCGCCGCGCATCAGATCCGCATGCGCGCGGCACATCTCACCCCCATGCCGCCGCCGTCGCTCCCCCTCCTCCCCATAGTGCACCAGCCATGGAAGGCTACGGCAACAACTATCGGGATTACTTCACCAATCCCTCGTCTTCTTCCTTCCCCGCTGCCAGATCTGAGCCCTACCCTGAGTTCCCCGTCACCGACGAGTTCGGCCTGTACTCCCAAGCTCCTCCTCCCTACGCCTCCCCCAGCCTCTCTGCTCCACGGTTGCGGCTGGAGAGCCTAGATCTGAACTCCCAGGCCAACTTCCCCAACCTCGACGTCTTCCCCAACCAGGAGCAGTTGCAGTCGGAAGGTTTGTATTCTAGGTCGTAGCTTTGATGATTTGTAATAATGGAGATTCTAGAACTGCATGAACACTGTCATGAATAAAGGAAACATTTTTGTAAAGAGATGCCTGCCAGTAGTGTGGCATGGCAAGCAGGGCAGCGCGGGTAGGCAAGCAGGGCAGCGTGGCATGGCTGGCCAGCGCGGGAAGCATTAATGATGTTTAGTCCCTTCTTCAGGTGCATTGATTAGGGGCTCTTTGGTCTTTCTTCAGGTGCATTAATGATGTTTAGTCCCTTCTAGTCCATTTAACCAAACACCAATAGGGACTACTATTTAGTTTCTATTTTAGTCTCTAGTCCTATGAATAGAGAAGCAAACAGGGCCTAGCATGCCATCTCCCTTCATCGACGATCTTGCCAATCCAGGCACTTTGGCGCCTAGGGACACAGCGAAGCCTGAGACACCCCTCCCATCTCCCAACGAAGCATCTGCAGGCCCCTCCTGGTTCTGCTCGTGACACAAGAGGCAAA